CTTGTTTCGAATTGTCCCATTCCACCTTAAACAGTGCAGCAGTTACTTTCTGGTGCCTCAGGCACCATTTAAGGTGGAAGGGGGATGTGAGAAAAGCAGCTATAGCTGAGCTAAAGCTTAAAGCAGAGCAAAGTAAGTCTACGTTTTTGTTGATATCATATTTTTTAGCCTATACTAGTACATTAACACACACTGAGACATATTCACAGCCAAAATGGTGAAATGGGCATACTTTTTCTCTTTGAGCCCCTGGCCCCAAACACTGTGCTTGATATGGCTGCATAGTGTCTACTGCTATAGTTTGAGCTTCTGCTAATGCTACATAGCTTACATGGCCAATGTACTACAAAAAAACAAAAAAACAAAACACAACACATTGGCCAAATATAGAGTGTAACATAAAAGTACGTCTTTCACTTGTTCATTTGAATTTAGGTTTTAGGAGCTGACTGTGATCTAGGATAATCATGTTCCACAATGAAAATCATAATCATGTTTCCTCATGAAAAAATGAACTATTCAATCTGTATCCCCTTCAAATCCCAGGGCTATTACATTCTATAGTAATATAATAATTCAGTAACTGGATAGACTATAAGGCATGATTTTTGTTGATGGCTCTTCTTAACATAGAGCACAGAGCATAGATAGATCAATTCGGAAGCTATATATATATATATATATTACTGTGTATTAATATATAGTATTGTACAGTATTGTATATAGTATTTCACGTAAGAGGTGCTGTAAATACAGCAGAAGTACAAAGCCAAACATTTAGTTATGAACAGCACTGTGTAACTTCACTCACTAGTCCAATTTTCTTATTGCAGGTCAATTCAAATCAACTCCCAGACCTAAAGGCATAAAGTCTAAGTTAATATTAAACACAAACTGGTTCTCTAAGGAACGCTCTCAAGGGCAGTGGAGAGCCAAGTGAAACCTGCGGTCATGTGAATCAAACCGAGTACTGATCTATGATAGGTTTTCGCTTTTCATATACTCCTCAATGAGAATTTAGGGATAGGACAACTGATGCAAGATCAGACTAAACAAAAGTGTTTTTCAGGACCAAAGGTGGAAAACAAAGCCAAAACAAATAAATGAACAAACAAAAAACCTGTAATTGTCCATGGTGCATGCATGCCGTAATCTGATATTGAAACCTAGGTACAGTAGTGTGCAAAAGTCAGAGACCACCCTTCATTTAGGAAGCCATTACTGAGAAAATGAAATAGACCAAAAAAATAAGAACGTTTGCAAGTCAAACTAACAAGCTGCTGGTGTTCTCAGAGTACTGACCACCCTAGAGACACGGCCTCAACATCGCTGCATGTGTTTGGGATTACTTCGATTGTGAGAAGCATAAAGTGCAACGAACATCTAAGACTGAACTTTGGAGGTGTGGAAAGATATCCCTGTAGATTCCTTTGAAAAACTGAAAGCAAGCGTCACAAAGAGAATTGAAGCTATAATGACTGCAAAGCGTGGACTCATGAAATACTGAAAACTATTCGATTATATTTATTTGTTGAGACTTCTGTGTATTTTTGTGTTAAACATGAATAGACTGTACTTAATAGCCATTTGGACTGGAGATGAAATAAAGGAAGGGTAGTATTTGATTTTTGCACAGTACTATACATATGATATCAGGCTGGTGGATCATTCACAACACAGCAATGACACTAACATGTATTTAAAAATCCCAGCCGTGTCGAAGTGCCCAGTACAGTCATACCAGCACAACACACGCTACCTTACCACTACCATATTAGTGTCAATGCCGTGCTGAAAATGGTCCACCCAAATAATATCTTATATAATAATTAGCGCTGGTCCGGTGGTGGACACTTTCTATTGAAGATGTGCTAAAGGAGGGCTGATACAAAGTGTTGCAACAGTCAGTATATGATCATCTACATTAATTCTCTATAAAGTGCATCTATATTTTAGTTCTATAATGGCCAATGAGTGTAGATACAACAGTGTAGGTAATAAACCAGCAACTCAGTGTAGTGTACTCACATATTACTGGTGCAATTCCTGAGCTGATCTGAGATCAGACACTTTATATAAAAGCCTTATATATCTAACCCCAGGCCAAAAGCTCCCCAAAAAGGCCTGGGATCAGTCCAGTCCTTTGTAGATATCAAGCTGCTCTGCAGTCCTGAGGGCTATTAAAGGTGAGCGCTGCTTGCACAATGCCGTAAGCCTGTAAGGCGTGATCTTTGGCTTTTGATTTTTAATGGAAGGGCAGATGCCACTGACGTCCAATGACACTATCTTTCTTGTCAATGGGGCTTGGCAGCACAGCACTGAGTCTAAGGCCACCTGCCTGAACTCGGGCTATAATCCAGCGATAGATCATTAAACTCTCAGTGGACTCTTGGAGAGAGAATCACGGCAAAGAATCACTGCAAACAGTAAGTGCCATTTCATGGTTTCACTGGGAGTCCTGGTCATTCTGGTTTACTCAGGCAAATTATCAATGAATATCAATTGCCAACATGTTGTTTCTAAATGTGAATGGAAATTTATAGCTTTAAATCTTAATCTTACAGTCTTAAAAAAGATGGTTATTCATAGGTTCTTTAGTAAAGACAGTGGTTCTATATAGAACCATGAATACTCAAAGAACCATTTGCATGCTTAAATGGTTCTTCGCATGGTGAAATGACAGAGAATATGTTGTACATGGTTCTAAATAGAACCTTTTTGAAAAGAGTTCTATATAACACCAAAAATGTCCTTCTATTGTTACAAACTTGACATCATACCAACAGAAGACCCCTTTTTCAGGAACATCCTTTTATTTTGGAAAGTAAATATTACATTAAAAAAACTAAGAAAATTTACCAGTACCTTTTTTTTATTTTTCTACAGCATGTTTAGAACTAGAACACTAGTGCTAGCAATTACTGCTCCTGAGTGCCGATTGGTTGGCGAGCTGGTCAGCAGTTCACACTTACCGACATCATGAATGCACATAAGACAAATGTTAGAAGGTCCTACAACTGGAGTTCAAACATGCTCAGAATATAACGACAGTTTTGAAATATTGTATGCTATGTTGTGTCAAGAAATGTGCATTTTTCAGTATAAAAACAACTATGTATTGACATACATGAATGCTTATTAGGAAATCATTCATTTTGGACTCGCTCAGGAGCGCCCTCTAGTGGCAGACAGACCAGGAACACATTACCGAGTGGCAATTCCCTCTCTAGAAACTCTCTGTTACTACCTAACAGCTAACCTAGCAGACAAAAGCTACATAAGTGTTTACAGTAGGTTAGTTAACAGCTTTTTCTAAAATGTGGAAATTTCATTCCTTCTTGATTTCCTACTCAATAACAATGAGGTAACCAACTGAAAACTTATGAGATAATCATGACAGTTAAAATGCTGTAAACTATTGCTAGCTAACTACGTTACTGCCCACTTTTTTGCCCATTACTTTTTTTCATTTCCTTCTTGGCAACATCTTTTTTGCTTTTTGCTACTACTGTGCCTCTTCGTATGAGTCACATGTGGGGAAGTGCTGTGTTGGTAAGCAATGCTAAAGGTGTTTAACCTTGTAGAGCACTGTCTGTCAACCAGTCCCAGATTCATGTTACTGTGCTGAATGTGAACAGACTAATCTACTCACTCTACAAGACTTACTGTCTGACCAATTACAATCAGCAGTTCACACTTACTAAAACTTACTGAAATGTCTTGTATTGCAGTTGTGCAATGTCTTTTTTCTTTTTTGTGTTTCTTTCAGTCTAGGTATAAATACTGACTCTTGTTTCTGACTCTACTGACTCTTGACTCGTGTTTAAGCTCAAGGGTAGTTTGGACTGTAAACTATCAGTACTAATTAGGATACATTCTCTGAGTGGACAACAAACAATTTTTGTAAGTCACTCTCGATAAGGTTGAAGATTGTCTGCCTAATGCTGTAAATGTAAATAAATAAATAAATAAATAAATAAATAAATCCATCCATCCATCCATCATCTAAACCGCTTATCCTTCTGGGTCGTGGTGGGGTGCTGGAGCCTATCCCAGCTGCCATTGGGTGGAAGGCAGGATACACCCTGGACGGGTCGCCAGTCCATCGCAGGGATAAATAAATAAATAAATAAATAAATAAAAAGTTTTTAGGGCCTCTAACATTTGAGGAGCTTGTCACTGGTTTAACCCCTACATTATGACAAATATAGACTTGATGGTATTGTTTACAGTTTATGTGTTTATATGCATGAGCTTATACAGTTGTATGCAAAAGTTTGGGCGCCCCTGGTCAAATTACATGTTTTGTTGATTTTCTAAGTGAAAGTAAGTTCACGCATCCTCTACAGGGAAAACACATAATTACTCTGTCTTTGCTGTATTTAACATATTGGAAAAATACAACATAAAATGTGGCCTGTGCAAATGTTTTGGCATATTTTATATATATTTTTTTTCAATTGTATATTCTGCAAATAAATACAAATTTTACACTAAAATGTGCAGAAAATGTTTAATTCTTTTCAATTTTTGTCATTTCACAGGGTACCATGAAATTGGATAGCAATGCTAATGCTGTAAAAACAAAAAAGATTAAACTAGGAATAAAGCAAAAATATAGGCTAATGTAAAATATAAAATGCAAGATACTGAAAGAAAGACTGTATAATTTAAAATGATTAAAAAGTAAAAATAGAAAATTAAACTAAAATAATGTAAAATAAAATTATAAAAGTAAAATAAGTACAATAAAAAGGGTGGATGTAAAGGAATGTAGAGGATATATCATTTATTTTTGCTTAGAAAATGAACAAAACAAGTAATTTGACCAGAAACTGTTCAAACTTGCGTAAGTCTATATATGTTATGTTTTTGTGTGTGTGTGTGTGTTACGTCTGTTTCAGGACTAAATTCTGCAGGTAGGTCGATCTCCAGGATGAGGGCTGGTGACCACTGCTTTAAAAGGACACTTCAGCAGATCTGGGCTGACCGTTGCTCACCTTCAGGGTCCTGTTGTGTCTCTGAAGCTCGCGGCACAGGGTCTCCAGCTTGCTGCGGGCCAGAATGGCGCGGCTGTGCTCAAACTGGAGCTGGTCTCTCTGCTTGACCAAGAGATCCTCCCTCCTCTGCAGGAACTTCAGCTGCCGCTGCTCCCCCCTCTGCTCCTGCAACTGCACACACATACAGATTGTGCCATACGTTACTCCACAATCTGGACTTAACCACCACTGGCTTTTCTAAAGCAGATGTAGGACAACAAATATCTGACGGTCAGGGTTGGGGGGGATGTGTGTTCTAAGAGGATTTGGAACAGCAGTCTGAGATAGAAGTATATGTTGATGTAACTCCCTGATCCCAGCACCAGTTGCAGCTCTCTAGGATTTTTTCCCCCTTTTCTCTGTTCTCTAGACTTTAAAGTAGCCCCCCTTTACAAACACGGGTGTCCACTTTTGCTGCAAGCACTAGCAGAAATCCTTTTATTTGCCCTGTACACCTTTTTTTTTCATAGTCATGTCCCTGATGTCTCCCTGTGTTTGCTGAACAGGAGAGGCAGTGAAAGCTGTAGCCTTCTAGCGCGGCATATGGCCTTGCGTTCCGATTCAGCTATGCAGCCCCGGAGCGCGGAATATTTAGGTCATTGCGGTATAAGCGCAGCCACTTCTACCGTCTCACCAGGAGCTCTCTCGCTTTTTTTCCTCCAGATTTCCTTTCCTGCTCTCCCTTCTACTCTGTGTTCTATTTGTTTTCCTCCTTGCTCCCCCCACCTAATGTTGTTGCTGTTGCCTCTGGTGCTGTGTGTGCTGAATAGAGAGAGTGTCCATGCTATGTCTATCAGCACTGGACATTATACCTTGTGATTGTACATTATACAATCACAATAATTATAGTTATAATTATTGAATAGTTATCATTTGTTCAGTAGTGATGGTAACTTGCTCTTGAGATATTTACAATAAAATAATGTCATCCTCTTCCTCAACTGGATATTAATTGAAAGGGTTTGAACTATAAACAGTTTAGTTTTGCACACAAGATGCACCTTTTTATTTCCTCAGCAGGTAGAAAGAAACAAGTATTTGTCTTGTGTTACCAAGCATGACAGTTAGCTAGATAGTTATATATATATATATATATATATATATACCAATCAGGCATAACTTAAAAACTCCAGCAGCACTGCTGTGTCTGATCCACTCGTACCAGCACGACACACACTAACACACCACCACCACGTCAGTGTTACTGCAGTGCTGAGAATGATCCAACACACAAATAGTACCTGCTCTGTGAGGGTCCATGGGGGTCCTGACCACTGAAGAACAGGGTAAAAGGGGGCTAACAAAGTATCAGAGAAACAGATGGACTACAGTCTGTAACTGTAGAACTACAAAGTGCACCTATATAGTAAGTGGAGCTGATAAAATGGACAATGAGGTTAGAAATAATGTTATGCCTGATCGGTGTATGTTAGCTCTCAGACAACACAACACTGTACAGTGCTCACACTGGTGATGAAAACCAGCTCCAGTACAAAAGTCCAGAGAGGCCATGAGGGAGTTATACATTTCTGGATTGTTGTGTTTAGATAACAAGATAATTATCTTGTTATCTCAAGATAACAAAATTGTTATCTGTCTGTCTATCTATCTATCTGTCTGTCTGTTTGTCTGTCTGTCTGTCTGTCTATCTATCTATCTATCTATCTATCTATCTATCTATCTATCTATCTATCTGTGGATCTGTTTGTCTGTCTGTCTATCTATCTGTCTATCTATCTATCTGTGGATCTATCTATCTATCTGTCTGTCTGTCTGTCTGTCTATCTATCTGTCTATCTGTGGATCTGTCTGTCTGTCTATCTATCTATCTATCTATCTATCTATCTATCTATCTATCTATCTATCTATCTATCTATCTATCTATCTATCTATCTGTCTGTCTGTCTGTCTGTCTGTCTATCTATCTGTCTATCTGTGGATCTGTCTGTCTGTCTATCTATCTATCTATCTATCTATCTGTCTATCTGTCTGTCTGTCTGTCTGTCTGTCTATCTATCTATCTATCTATCTATCTATCTATCTGTGGATCTGTCTGTCTGTCTGTCTATCTATCTATCTATCTATCTATCTGTCTGTCTGTCTGTCTGTCTGTCTGTCTGTCTGTCTATCTATCGATCTGTGGATCTGTCTGTCTATCTATCTATCTATCTATCTATCTATCTATCTATCTATCTATTTATCTGTCTGTCTGTCTGTCTGTCTGTCTGTCTATCTATCTATCTATCTATCTATCTATCTATCTGTCTGTCTGTCTGTCTGTCTATCTATCTGTCTATCTATCTATCTATCTATCTAGGATAGGTATATCTAAGATATACATATAATTAGCAATAATTAGCAAAGTCAAATTATTCACAATAATGTGTCATAATGAGACTTTTGTCCATGTTGCCCAGTCGTACAGGACACTCACCAGCTCGGCGTACTTCTTCAGCACTGTCTCCACTTTCTCCTCGGCTGAGCTGAGCTTGTTGAGGTTCTGCAGCAGGAGCGAAGCCTCCTTACCTGTGCAGACAGATCAAAGTGAAGCCGTTTTATTCAGCGCAGCGGTGAGGTGGGAAAAAATGATGCAGAAGATGAAGAGGTGGGGAACCACATGGGGGTTTGGGATGTATGAGCCAGCTTCAGACTGAATCAACTGTGGGGCCTTTAGGACGCATCGTACGCAAGTCTGATGTTCGAGTCTTTGATCCCCTGGATGAGAACTGAAACGGCATTAGTTCAAACTTTAAGGCGTCAGGGTTCCTACTGAGTTAAACTAAATGCACTCCTATTAGATCTGACATCACTCATGAATTGCTGTCTTGCAACATTTGCATTGAGATCCTGCAAAATGTCTACTGTATCCACTGTGTGACCACAGTCATGTACTGCTGCTGACAATTCATCCCCCTATCCATATCAAATAATCTATGTATTTAGTATATTTCAGCTTTATTCATATAGCACTTTCTAGAACACTGTCACAAAGCATCTTGTTCTAGCCCCTTAGTGAGTAAGCCGAGGGTGACGGTGACAGGAAAAAGGCTCTAAGAGCATAAAGAAGGAACACTGAGAGGAACCAAAACTAGAAAGAGGAACCTGTTCGCCTTTGGGCAATGGACTTATGATACAGTTAGTACAACATTATGAGCGAGATGTGGCATAAGCCAGTGACTAATGCTAAAAGCCTGGCAGAAAACTGGCAGAGGAAGGATTTGGAGGATGACTGTGTCCGACATACAGGATGTTAAACATGAGAACATGGTTTCAATACTATGGCGTATAAATCACTGCTGACCTAAGAAAACCTTGTATCTCATCATTTTTCCGTTTTTGACATAATTTGAAACTATCTGTTGCCTTTTACATTGTGTGTAAATTTCATGATGAATGGGCTAAAAGAAACAGCCCAAAATGACTTGGAAAAAAGTCTGGTTCTATTGACTTACATTAAAAGTAAAGTAAGTTTTTACCTTCTCCTGTAAAGTTACCATTTTGGAGATATGAGGTTTTCTTCCGACAACTGTGGACATCTGCTCATCCAACATTTCTTGTAAAGTCAACGGTATTAATGGAGAGTTTGTTTCCTCGTCTGGAAAGGCTTTACACTATATGTTGTAACATTGCTGCAAGGATTTGATTGCATTCAGCCACAAGAGCTTGAGGTCAGCTACCGATACTAATGATCACAAACGCCACTCTAAGTCATCTCAAAGGTACTGGATGCATCTGTATAACTTCAGAGAACACAATGTTCCACAGCCCAATGCGGCAAAGTTCTAAACCCCCATTGGTCTCACTTTAAAGAACTTGGTTCTTTAGAATTATATACCAAACCTGGAGTATGAATCTTGGGTGTGATCTTAGACTCTGAGCTCTGTTTTCTCTGCATGTAAACACAGTCATTAAAGTAGCTTATTATCATTTGAGAAAATCACTAAAGTTCAGCCTTTTCTCTCTCAGAGTGACGCAGAGAGACTTGTTCATGCATTTGTTACAAGCAGAGTTGATCACTGTAATGACCTTCATACTGGACTTCCTAAGAAAACAGTGCATCCCTTACAACTCGTACAAAATGCGGCAGCATCCTAACAAAAACAACACAGAGAGATCAGATCACTCCCACTTTAAAAGAGCTGCACTGGCTGTCTGTATCGTTCAGTTGAGATTTTAAAGCTCTGCTACTAGTTTTTAAAGCTCAAAATGACCTTAAAGCACCTTTTACATCACAGAGTGTCTGTCTGTTTACATTCCAGCATGAGATCTTAGATCTGCAGATACTGACCTTCTTTAAACACCTTCTGTAAAATATAGAAAATATGGAGAGACTTGTTCAGTTATTCTGCTTCTAAACTGTGGAGCTCAGTTCACCTTTTATTAGACAGTCAAGCTCAGCTCTCACTTTTAAGAAGCATCTAAAAACGAATCTCTTTAATTCAGCATTTTAATAAAACTCTATGTCTCGTGGTGTTTATCTTTTAACTTGATCTGCATCTTTTTCTTGTATAATTCTAAATTAATGCTTATAATCACCTGCCTGTAAAGCACTTTGAGCTGCTAGTGGCATGAAAAGTGCTATATAAATAAAAATTATTATTATTATTAGATTATTATTAAATTAAGTCTTTAGTACCTGGGAGTTACACATTAACAATACATGCAAAAAACAACACTTCTGATGTAGTCACTGTAACAGATGGAATACAGAAGTATTACATATTTATCAACTTTTGCTTTTACTTATGTAATTACTCATATAATTTCGCTGCAACTTCATAACAACTACACAGGAATTGTCCACTTCTTTTAAACTGTAACTCTCTTACTATGTTACTATGGAATACTGTGAATATTTGTGTTGTGACATGGTAACCTGGTCATATCTCATCACTTACTACTACAGCTGGCTAACCGTTGACATTTCCTGTGCAGATACAGTGTAAGACCTCTTATAATGTAGGTAATTACACACCTCCTGGTGTAATCAGAAAAAAATCCTATTGGAAAAATGCCAGTTCTCCTATGACGTGTAATATGCTGTTATAACTACCAAGATACACTTGTTTAATTAGTTAATAAGAGTGAAAACTGAAGGTAATGCATGTGTGTGTCTACATAAGCTGCACTACTATAATCCATCTGAAACAGTGAACACATCACCAGAAGTTACATTGTTGTTGCATGTATTGTTCATGTGTACCTATATAGTCATTATAAAAGTAAGGTTCATTGTAATGCCTGTCAGACTGGCATTTGTAGAACATTGTAGTCATCAGCCACCTTGATGAAGAGTGAGAGAGCATGATTTGGTTTCAGTATGAATTCACTACTTAATACTTTTTTTCTACTACTTACTACTTGTTTTGTTTTCAAGACAGTGGACATAAAGGAGTAGCTAGTCTTTTAGGGTTAATTGCAGCCTAATATGGACACCAGTGCAACTGCCACACAAGAAGCCAAATTCCAGCAGCGTCTGATGACTGGAGGCACGAGTGTATGTGATCGCACTCATGACATGAATGACTTAAGAAATTTTAAGAAGCTTAAAATTTGAAACTTAAATTGAAACTTAAATAGTGCAGCAGTTGCATTCAGGTACCTGTACAGGTACCAGAATGTAACTGCTGATCTATTTACCGTGAAAATCCAAACAGTTGGGACTAGTGTTAGAAAGCAATAGCGACACTTTGACAAGATTGATACTTATCAACATATTTTTTGGTTCTGTTTTTTTTTTTTTCTTATTTCGCATGATAAAAATATTTCAGACTTACATAAAGGGACACTCTAGATATTAGAATAATAAGCAACTGTTAACTTATAAAAATAGATTTACTTAAGCATGAAGACATTACATTTTTCTATACTGCAGCAAATGCCTGTGGGATTATTCTGAATGCTCTTTATCTTGACACCCTCAAAAGCCCATAATGATTTAGTATCTGATGTTTGTAACATAATATCATAGATACCTGATAAGTCTGCTGTTACAGCAGTTTGAGAGAAAAAACTCTTTTGTTGGTGATCTAGGCTGGACCAAGTGTGTGGTGTTGCCTGTTTTCTCTCCAGACACTGATCTTTAAACTTCATAAATCATACAGTATAGTACCCACTGTTATCTGAGACGATTTGTAATAACATTTCCTGCCCATCCTTACTACCATATCACATATCAACATATAATTTAGAGTACTCCACTATATACTTACGGGCATGTCATCCTTTTAGCGTTCACCTTTACAGAGCCTCTCAGAGGAGCCCTGGGTCTAAGCCATTTTTGTATATGTGAAAAATGAATAGCATTTTTTCAAAAGTCGCCTCAATCGTGCTCTGTAGGGAGCCAGTGAGTTCTAAAGCCTGGATGCCATTGAATTACATGATCATTAAGTACTTGAAATAGGAATTTTCCCATAAATGCGCTACATGAAAGCTAGTATTACTGTGCATCTAATCAACATCATAAGACTGGCGTCCTCAACAAAATACTGAGCGCAAACCTTGAGCTTTGCTAAGTTTGGTACTGAAATGTTTAGAGTGTTCAAAGTCATATAGAGAATAGTTAGTAGGCACAAAGTCACAGTGCAGATACTGTATGGAGCAATATTCATATTTTGACTACTGAATGACCTCATAAGTCAGAGGACGCAGTGATATTCGGGAAAAACTGTACAGTATTGTGCAAAAGTTGGAGACTAACCTTCATTTATTTAATGTAATCCAGTCAACATGGCTATTAAGCACAAGCTATTCATTTTTCAGGAGATATTTCTGAGGAGATTAGACATAAGATAATCCATTCGCATAAAGAAGGGGAAGTGAAAGGAAAATAAGTGAAAAACAGGAGCTTCCAAAACTACAGCTCCTTTTTTTTAAAAGATATACAGAAAATAGGAGTCTTAACAACCTTAAGACCTGCCAGACCACCAAAATGGTCACCATCAGATAAATAAGACAGTTTTATCACACACTTCTATTACCTAAGAATAGCTCAGCCAGTTTACACTGAAGAATAATAAGCCTCTGTAGGTAATTAGCCTGTGATTTAAAGGGGTTTAAAGATTTCATCTTCAAAGATTTTATCATCAAAATAAAGCTCCACTCTTGCTTCAGATCTGAACTAATCCAGCTGTGTTATGGGTCTGAAAGAACGTGTCTGCTTTTCCAAGAATATTTCAAATCGATATTTAAGCTAAATGGAATAAAAAGGAAAAACCAAGTTGAAATCAATATTTTATTTGCTTGAACTCAAGATACTAAGTAGAATTATTAGGTAAAGCAATTGGTATGACAAAAAAGTTAAATCAACGTGCCTTTTAGATGTTGTACCTGGACGTTTTAAGTTATGGTAACTGAAGTTTTCATTACACATTACTTAACTTTTTTAAGGCAACTGGTTTCCTCAATTTTTTAGAGTAAATTCAACTTATCTGGGCTTACAGTGGAGCTGACAAGAAGTAGTTACTGCTTAAAGGAAATAGACAGAGAAGAAATATGCAAATCAAATAAAGAAGCTGCTGGTGTTC